ACATGGTTCTCCGAGGGTTGGCTCTGCGCTCCGGGTTTCCCCTAGCAGCGGAACGCCCCCTCTACTCGGAGCTAGTAGACACCGGACACTAACACGACGACGCACACTCCTCACTGACATCTCCGTTCGCCGTGTGGTCTCCTCACCCCCATTCCGAAGGGGCTCCTCCCTCCCCTCGGTCCTCCCTCCTGCTCGCCTTCCGATGGTCCCGCGACGATTGCGGGGCCCGACTTCCCCTCCTAGCCTTTTTCGGTTTTGCGGCCGCGTCGCCGTCTCGTCTTCTCTGCCCGATCCTGTTGACTCTCACACTACATTAGGAGCGGCCGCACACTGCTCGCTACCCCCCCCCTGCACTTCTAAGCCCGTCCCTGCTGCTAGGGGGGGGGGTCTGACCCCCCCAGCAGCAGAGCGCTGCTGCTGGGGGGGGGGGGTCCCGACCCCCCCAGCAGCAGAGCGCTGCTGCTGAGGGGGGGGTCCCGCCCCCCCAGCAGCAGAGCGCACTGGACCCAGCCCCCGCCTCCCGCCACTATGATTATTGGAAGCGCTCCTCCAGCAGCAGAGATGGGTGTCTTCCGACAAATCAAGCAGGCCGACCGCCGTGGAGCGTGATAATAGCGAGAGGCCAACTCCGCGAGGTTGAGCGCTGCGCGGTACTCGGCGGTAGCAACACTCGGTGTCAGAGCGTCGCGCCTACATCAGTAGTCTCATCACCGAGTGATTGCTGGCCTGTGGCGTATGACCTCGCGCGGATATCACCAACGACGAGCATGCGAAGATATTGAGCACTATCTGATGGACTTGTACAGCCCGCTGTGCTCTCCGCTGTGTCACGGCGTATGATGGGCTGCGAGAGCCGTATATCTTCCCTCCTTGAAGCAGAGGCGCCGCGAGGCACGAGAGGCGTAGAAAAGAGAGGCTGGCGTGCCCCGCACAGCCCGGTTGGCAGTAGGAGGCCCCGCCGGTGAGACCACTGATTTTGATGCCGACCATAAATTCTCGCAACTCGAACGCATGCTACTTACAGCTGCTGTCTCTGTACAGAGATGCCAGCACCCCCCAGCAGCAGAGCGCTCCTCTCAGGGAAAACCTTCTGCGCGTCGCGCATCGCGCGGCCGAAGTCCTCCCGCGCCTCCCTCAGCGCCGCCTCGCGCTGCTCCGACTCCTTCCGCGCCGCCTCGCGCTCCGCCGGCGTCGGGCCAGGCGGGGGGCCCGGCGGGGACCGGGGTCCGCTTACTGTAGTGCTATCTCGACCCTCCCGCCGTCTGTGCGCCCGACGGCGGCCCGCCCCGCCCCGGCGCCGCCCGACCCGCTCCCCCCTTCTCTCCTCCCTTCCCGCTCCCCTTCCCGCGCCCAGCTCAGAATGCCGTGTGGCAAAAAAGAAAACCTAGATCCGCACGCGCAGCACACTCAGGCGAGGGATTTCAGCACTCCACGCCGTGGGGCCAGCACGCAACAGACAACGTCAAGACAACGGCGACTACATCAAGACAGCGAAAGCCTTCATCCGCGCCGACGCCATCGGAGCCACCGCCTCCCACGCATCCAACGCCGGGTCGTACCGCTCGACCGAGCTGAGGGCGCCATTGTTGCAGCCTCCCACGGCGTAGAGCTTGCCGTCGAGAACCGCCACGCCGTGAGCCTCCCGCCCCTCCGCCATCGGCGCCACCGCCTCCCACGCATCCAACGCCGGGTCGTACTGCTCGACTGAGCTGAGGAAGCCGTTGTTGTGCCCGCCCACAGCGTACAGCTTGCCGTCGAGCACCGTCATGGCGTGATCATACCGCGCCGCCGCCATCGGCGCCACCGCCTCCCACGCGTTCTCTGTCGGGCCGTACCGCGCGACCGAGCTGAGGAGGCCGTCGTCTTCGTTGCGACCTCCCACAACGTACAGCTTGCCGTCAAGCACCGCGACGGCGTGAGCCTCCCGCGCCACTGCCATCGGCGCCACCGCCTCCCACGCATCCAACGCCGGGTCGTACCGCTCCACCGAGCTGAGGTAGTCACCGTTGTAGCCGCCCATAGCGTACAGCTTGCCAACGAGCACCGCCATGGCGTGAGCCTCCCGAGCCTCTGCCATCGGCGCCACCGCCTCCCACGATTTCGTAGCCGGGTCGTACCGCTCCACCAGGTTGGAAGTTGCGCCGTCGGCCTCACTCTCGCCGCCCACCACGTAAAGCTTGCCGTCGAGCACCGCCGTGCCGACATACGTGCGTGCCGTCGGCATCGGCGCCACAGCCTCCTCCTCCCACTCATTCGTTGACGGGTCGTACCGCTCCATCGAGACGAGGTTATTGTCGTCCTCATCGCGGCCGCCGATCACGGTCAGGCGCGGCCTCTCGCGCTTCTTCAGCGTCTCCTTCCAGCCGCGGCGCCACGCGCGGCACGTCCCCTTGGCGGCGTGCGCCTTGATCGGCAGCTGGGCGAGGATGTGCGGGGCGAGGTCCGGCGAGAGGAGGACCTCGGAGAGCACCCACTCGGGCTGCTCCACGAGCCGTGCGGCGTGCTCCTCCGCCACGCGCAGCGCGGCGTCGCTCGCGCCCGCCTGCGCCTCGATGATGGCGCACAGCTGCGCTGGCGAGAGACCCGCGACGCGCGCGCCGATGCGGTGGGAGGCCATCAACCTGGCGAGTAGAGCCCCCCCGCACGCACGCTCTCTTGGATTGCCCGCTAAAAGAAAGCCACCAGCCTCGGGGAGGGCCGGGCCCTTTGCCAACAACATACCTTCCTCCGTGCCGCGCCGCCCTTGCCGTTTAGCCCGCCGCCCCCCCTGCCGTCCGTTACCGCCGTGCCGCCGTACCGCCCACGCCGCCGCCGCCCTCCACCCCCTCCACACCGCCGCCACCGCTGCTCACGCCGCCGCCGCCCTCCACCTCGCTCACGCCGCCGCCGCCCTCCACCTCGCCCGCGCCTCCGCCGCCGCTCACGCCTCCGCCGCCTTCCATCTCGCCCACGCCTCCGCCGCCCTCCACCTCTCCCATGCCGCCCCCCCGCCCTCCACCTCGCCCACCCCTTTGCCACCACCCTCTCCTTCGCCGCCCCTCGCCCCCACCGTCCTCCACCTCCACCCCTCGCCCTCCCCCCCGCCCTACCGAACCACCCGCCGCCCTCCCCCCTTTCTGCCCCTCCGCCTTTGCCATGGCCCATCTGTGCATTCCACTCCGTTCGTTCCTTCCGCTTGGCGCCCATCCCGCCCTCCGCCCGCCCTCCCCCCTTCCTGCCCCTCCGCCTTCGCTACCCCCCATCTGTGCGTTCCACTCCGTCCGCTCCCTCCCGCTTGGCGCCCATCCCGCCCTCCGCCCTCGCCCTCCGCCCCTGTCCTGGCTGGCCTGGGTGGCATCTCCTCATCATCACGCGCCAAGTGGGAGGGAAGTGGACGGGGCCCTGAGCCGACCTAGCCCTAAACGGAATGGGGCGCCCAACACGTGCCCGGATTACTGTGCCTTCCCCGCGGGTGCAGCCTTTCGGCTCGTGAAGGGTCGGTGCGTGTCGTGATCCCCTGGAACACCCGTACTCTCCCGCGCCATCTCCGTCGCCCTCTTCGGCTGCGGCCTTACCACCAAGATCGGGAGGCGGCCAGGGCTCATAGACTCGGTCGAGAGACCCCAGATTGGCATCCATGCCTGGACTCAGCGCGCCGGCTCTGCTCACTGCGAAGCTGCTCGAGGCCACGCTGCAGGATGCGGAGGACGCTTCGCGGGAGAAGCTCGAGGCGCTGGGACCGGCTGCCACGTCAAAGCCGGTGCACTGGGAGAATATGTTGCGGTGACGCGCCCGCGCGAGAGCAGCGGGAGTCGGGCCGAGTCTGGGTTGGGTTCGGTGTGCGAGTGCGTGTCCGCGGCGACTGTGCGTTGCTCGCACTGGAACGGTGAACCGGCATTTTCCCCTGAGCTCTAAAGCGCGTGTGTGTACCGTACGCTACGGCGAATCACAACTCAGCGCAGTACTCACGACTCACGTAGACGCGGTATGGGTATCTCAGCAGCACGCACGGCACATGGTCACGCCTTCGCCGCCGCGCTTCCCCTTGCCTTCGCGGCGACCTCGAGGTCGAGCGCCGCCTGTATCGTGGGCTCCAGCTCCTCCAGCCTGCGCGCCGCCTCGTGCGGAAAGTCATCGGGCATCACGCAGAAGGCCTTGTCCGCCTTGGCGTACGCCGGAATACGCCGGACCTCGCCGAGGGCGTACCGAAGCTGTTCGGCAAAGCTGCGACCGACAGCCGCCTCAGTCGGGCGCACGGTCCATCCGAGCGGCTGCCTGCCGGTCTGCTTCTGCCAGGTGAGGCAGGTGCGCAGATGAAGCTGAGGCTGCTGCACGACGGCAACCGCTGCCGTCTGATCGTCGAGCCCGAGCACGCGCAGCGTCGCGCGTGAGAACTCGACGTTCGTGCCCGTGTGCGTGGACGCCGTCTCGAGATACACGTAGGCGGTGCCGCCGTCACGGCGACGGCTGGCGGTGGCCGTGTCGTCTTTGCCGTCGGCCATCGGGTTGCCTCCAAAAGCGACACAGTCTCCCAGGCCGCGCTCGCGGCAGCGCGAGAGGAAGAGCTCGAGGAACACGTCCGCCTCGCTCGCGTATGCGCGCAGCGCCTCGGGCGCGAGAGTGAGATCAAAGCCGTCGAGCACCGGCTTCGAGGAGATGCCTTGGGCGGGCAGAGCCACGTGCGCAGGCGGACGGTCATTCGACCACGGCGGTGCAGAACCACCACCATGCTCGGAAGAGAAGAGCGGCTTGAGCCCGCGGGACGCAAGCTCAAGCCAAAGGGGTGGCGTTTCGCGGCCGACACCACCCGTCAAAATCACAGCGCGGCAGCCCGCTGGATAGAGCACGTCAACAAAGAGGTCGGCCGCTCCGAGAGGGCACGCGACCATCGAGTTGCCGTGGACGACGAGAGCGTCGACACGCGGAGCCTTTGTCGGCGGCGAAGACGACGCTGATGAAGAGACAGTGCCGCTTGGTGGCGGGTCATAGGAAGCGAGGCGAGGATGGCGCCAAGCCAAGTATGCCAAGGTCTTCTCCGCATCGGCCTTCTCCTCCTCGCACATTCCATACACGCCGACGCTGTCCCACTGCACGGTGCACGTGTTGCCTTGGAACAAGCGCGCCTCCACCGCTGGCGGTGCGGGCAGCGCGAAGGCGTCACACAGGAAGCGCTCGATCGCATGCCACATGTGCAGCACGTTGGGCTCGCGACGGATGGCGTGGCCCTCTCGCGCATAGGTCAGGTGTGCACCGGCGAGGCCAGCGCGCATGGCCGCCGCCGCGACCGCGTCGCCGTGCTCGCGCGGCACCCTCGGATCGCGCTCGCCGTGCACGAGCAGCAGCTTCACCGCCTTGTCGAGATTCTCGAGGCGATGCAGCGGCGAGAGCGCGGCTGCGGCCTTGACGTCCTTAGCCACACTGGGGCCGTAGAGCTGCCTCCAATACTGCGCAACGAGCGGGTCGCTGCGGAACGCGGGCGACGTATTTGCGGCGCCAACGGCGACGAGCGGCACGATAGCGACGACAGCCGCGTAGCGCGGTGAGGCCGCCGCGTCGTCGTCCGACGCGGTGGTGGCCGCCGCCACCTCGGTCGCACCGCCCAGTGCCAGGTAGCCGCCCCAGCTGGCCCCAAGGATGGCGATCCGGTGGGGCGCGGCGAGGCCAGTGGCCACGGCCCATCGGCGTGCATCCTCCACGTCCTCGTGCATGCCGCGCACGTTGCCGTGCGCCAGGTTACAGAAGCGCCGCCCATACCCCGTCGAGCCGCGATAGTCGACTGAGAGCACCGCCATGCCCCGCGCCGCGAGGAGCTGCACCCACGGGTCGAAGCCCGCGTAGTCGCGCTCGTTGGGCCCGCCGTGGATGCAGAGGACGAGCGGCGGTGGTGGTGGGGTGGAAGAAGCGTCGGAGGCGCCGGCGGACCACAGCCGTTGGTGCGCACGCGGGAGCGTCAAGTAGCCTGGCAGCTGCTCGCCGTCGCGCGCGGGGATACTGACCGCCGCCATGGGCGAGAGGGCCGCAGAGAGGCCGCGCAGCGCCGGGCGCGCGCAGAGGAGCTCGCGAGGGCTGCCCGACGTGTACGGAGCGAGGAGCCAGAAGGTCGCGGGCGCGGTGTCCGACTGGCTGCGAACGACCCATACGTCGTCTGCCAGGCTGCGTGAGGCGATGCTCAGCTCGAGTGTCTCGTCAGCGCCGCCCGCGGTGTTCGCGTCGTCGATCGCGGCACGCACGCGCGCGAGCTCCGCCTGCAGCCGACGGCCGCCCTCGCTGAGTGGCACCACCTCGCTCCGCTGCGCGGTCACCACGATCGCCTCGAGCTCCCCGCTGAGCGGCGAATCGTAAAAGCCCGAGATGTCGGCACGCGGGCTCTGCGCGAGGATGGCGGGCGGGGCCTCGGAGCTGTCGAAGCGCACGTACGCCGTGGTATCCGCCGTGTCGCACGTGTGGATGGCGACCGCGTCGCCCTCGCCCACGCGCACGAGACGCAGCCGGCCGGAGGCGGCGCCAGACCCTACGAGCTGCATGTTGAGATCGCTAAAGGGGATGTCGGCGCAGACGGGCGCGAAGCCGCCGCGGCGCAGGCGCTTCGTGAAGCGCAGCGCGACGCCTGGCGGCCACGGCACTCGGCTCTTCTCGCCGCTGGGCAGGCCTAGGGCCGCCGAGGCGATCCCAATGAGCGTGCCACTACGGTCGACAAAGTATTGGACGGGCGCCGCCGGTGGCGGAGCTAAGTATTGGACGGCGCGAAGGACCGGCGTAGCGAGCCCCAGGGTGATCATCTCCAGCACGCGGCACACGACGACGAGGATTATGTGCAGCAGCAGCGCGGCGAGGAGTCGAGCAATGCCGAGCCACGTGCTCGCCGGGTTGGCCGCAACGGTGCGCAGCGAGCCCGAGGCGAGGTTGAGCTCGCTGAGATCCCAGAGCAGCGAGCCTCGACCCGTGGAGATGATGGCGATGTTGGGGTCGCTTCTCGGCAGCCAGAGCTGCAGGCCGCCAACGAAGCCGACGCAGCACGTGACTTTTGGATGCGCCGCCAGCAGATCGATGCCACCACCGCTCAAGGGTGCCTGCGTCTGCTCAATGTCGATGGCGTACAGGTGATACAGCTCGCTGCCGTGCTCCGTTTCACGCAGGTAGAGGATGCGGGAGTCGTCACGGGTGAAGGTGAAGTAGAAGCAGATGTCACGACTCTGGCACGCGGTCAGCTGACGGCCGCCGGGGATGCCGCTGTTGACGTTGCTTGGCGGACGCAAGGGCAGCGACGCGCAGAAGAGATTTAGCGCGCCGCCATTGGTCCTCGCCATCCACGCGAGGTATTTGGCGTTTGGCGAGACCTTGACCGCGGCCGCTTCGGCCTTGGAGAAGAGCGTGTGCAGCGGGATGGCCGTCATTCTTGTGTTGAGCGGAAGTCGCGAGTAGTAACAGGAGGCCACTTGGAGTGCGTCAGTGTTGAGACTGGCTTCCGCGCAAGGCGACGAGAGCGAGCGCAGGGTTCCGGCTCCTCTGTGCTGCATGAATGCTGCCTGTGAACAACACCTCGTGCGGGGGGGGCACGGCGCCGCAGGCGCCTGTTGATGGGTCCAGGTGATAGCCCTGGGTGGGCAATGCATACGCCTCACTGGGCCTTAGATCGCCCGACCGCGTCCCGGTGCTCTGCCGTCGGATTTGTGACTCCGCCGCACCGCGCCGCGGCCGGGGGCCCTCCGGAGGCCGAGGATGGCCGTGACGGACCGGGACGAGCTCTGGGAGGTTCAGTGTCAGTGTATATACTGTAGAGACCAACCATGTCCACAATATCTCTCAGTCTAGCTAAGCCTGGGAAGGCGATGCCGGGGCCGTACAGCAGCTTGATGCATGCCATCGAAGCGGCGCTGTCGAGGTTCGCCGAGCGCGGCGAAATCCGGGGACACCGTCACCGACGAGCGCGTTTGAGTATTCACTCCGGACAAAGACGGCTACACGCACACGAGCCGCGGTCGTGTAGCCGTCTTAGCGGCGAGGCGCGGGACCGTCTGTGGCGAAGTGGGTCGCGTCCCCGGATTTCGTTCAACCCACCCTCCACACCCTCTATCACAATAGACCTACATCACAGGCAAACCACCGGAGCCGCCTAAAAGCGCCTCCGCTAAAACAACAAGAACTAGCTGAGGGGCTCGCTAAACGCTCGCCGAGCTCCATGCTGTGCAACACCACCTCCTCACTAATTGTCAGGGGCGCGGAGAGCGCAGTGCACTGCGGTGAGGCTGCGCAGCGGGGGCTCGCCCCCTGCACCGCGCTCAGCGGCACAGGGGAGGGCGGTCGGTGGCGGCGGCGGCGAGGCGCGAGGCGGTGGCGGCGGTGGTGCGGGCGGCGGGATGACAGGGGAGGCGGCGGGATTGACAGGGGAGGCGGCGGCCACGAGCGGAGCGGCGCGAGAAGGGGGGGGGGCGGCGGCGAGGCGCCGGTGAGCGAGGCGCCCGCGCCATCAGAGGGACGCGCCGCTGCGAGATGGAGGGCGGCGGTGACGGAGGCGAGGCGCGAGGCGGCGGCGGCGGCGGCGGCGGCGGCGGCGGCGGCGGCGGCGAACGGCGGCACCGAGTCTCGGTGAGCGGCGGCGGGAGGAGGAGCAGCGGCGGCGCTCGCTCGCTGTTGACGGGAGCGCTTTTGAGCCTGGGAGCCCATGCCACTGCGACCGGCGTGCCCGGGAACGGAGATCGCGCGCGCGCCGCCACTCACGACGCGCGCGCGATCTTCGCGGAGTCGGGTCCCCAGAGGGAAGCGGTCTTCTCGGCCGACGTCCAGCGGCGCGCAAGGAAGCAGGCGCAGCGGAGGCGGCCTAGCACCGGCTCGGCGCCGGGCGGTTGCGCTGCCCGCGAGCCGCGTCCTGAGCCTCGGCAGCGCGCTGCGCGGCGCGGCGCTCGCGCTGCTGCGGTGCCGAGAGCGGCATGATGGTTCGCCAGCTGAAGCTCGAGACTCCTCGGTATCACGAGTTGCGCGGGTCACGGGGATAAGCGGCGGACGACGGGGGAGCCATATATCTTTAGACAAAGAGCACCGGTCCACTCTACGCTGACACAGCACATCCGAGGGCGCCGACGCAACCAAACCCGCGCGGGCGGCGTTACCGTCGTGGCGGCCCACACCTCCCATCCACACCACACGCCACACACCGCTCACCAGCGGCGCCCACACCACGCCGCACCGATAACCCGGCAGCGACACGCGACACGACACGCCGACAGGTACGACGTACGTGCGGGAACGCGCCGCGGGGACAGCCCTAGGGGACACGCGCCCCCCGCCCCCCCGCCCGGACCCCGGTCAAAGAGCGATGTGCAACCCCAATCCTTCGTTCCTTCCCGCACCCCGGTTCCTTCCCCGCTCCCCTCCCGCACTGGCTCCCGGAGTGCAAGAAATGTCGTGCGCACGCCTGCCACTCCTGCCGCAGACTCAACGAGGGATCCCGACCCAGAGTCCTTGAGACGGAACACCCCTCCCACCGTCCTCCCACATGGACATGCCAACCACGATCCGTGCGCCGGCGCCGGCACGTGGTTGCTGTCCTTGCGCCGGCAGCTAGGCCGCCTCCGCCTTGGCCCTTCCCGCCAAGACGCGCCTCGCCTTGACGGCGGCGAGTGCCGCCTCTGCTGCCTCGGCCTCTGCCACTGCCGCCGCCGCCGCCGCCGCCGCCGTTGCCGCCGCCGCCACAGCCGCTGCCGCAGCCGCTGCCGCAACCGCCGCCACGGCGGCCGCCTCCTCCTCCTCTGCCGCTGCCACAGCGTCTGCCTCGGCCTCAGCCTCCCGGCGCGACCCCGCTGCCGCCTCCGCCTCCGCTGCCGCCTCCGCTGTCGCCTCCTCACCCGCCTCCTCGCCCGCCTCCTCGCCCTCCTCCTCGCCCGCCTCCGCTGCCGCCTCCTCGCCCGCCTCCGGCGTCTCCTCCTCGCTCGCCTCGCCCGCCGCCTCTCCCAACGCCTCCGCCAGCCCCTCGACCGACGTCTCCGCCGTGATGCCGTACCGAATCCGCTCCTCGGTGAGAGTCTCGAGAAGCCTGAGCATCCCCTCCTTGTCCAGCGGCACGGGCTTGGCTGTGGCTGCCTGTGCCGGCGCCTCGGGATCCTGCGATGGCCCAGCGCCGCCGCTCCCGCCCCCCTTCTTCTTCTTCTTGCCCTTCTTCTTGGCGCGCTTCTCCGCCTCGACCTCCGCCAGCAGCTCGTTGGCATGCCGCTCCGCCTCCGCCTCCGCCGCCGCCCGCTCCGCTGCCCTCGCCGCCGCCCCCGCGGCCCACGCCGCCTCCTTCGCCGCCTTCTCGGCCGCCTTCTCGGCCGCCTTCTCTGCCGCCGTCTCGGCCGCCAGCCCGGCCGCCGCGTGCTCCTCGAGGGCGCGCACGCACTCGCTACAGCCCTCCTCCTTGGCCAACTGCAGCGCCGTCCAGCCAGCCTCATCACGCAGCTTCGTGTCGGCGCCCGCCCGCAGCAGGCGGAGCACGATGGCGAAGTGGCCTTGGATGGCTGCGCCCATCAGCGCGGTGCCGCCGTCGCTGTTCTGCACGTTGACCTCCGCGCCGTGCCGTATCAGCAAGTCGACCACCCGCTCGTGGCCTTGGCCGGCGGCGAGCATCAGCGCGGCGAAGCCGCCGCTGTCCTGCAGGTTGACCTTCGCGCCGTGCCGCAGCAGCAGCTCGACCACCCGCTCGTGGCCTTGGCCGGCGGCGCACAGCAGCGCGGTGAAGCCCGCAATGTTCTGCCAGTTGATCTCCGCGCCGTGCTGCAGCAGCATGTCGACAACCCGCTCGTGGCCGTTGGCGGCGGCGCCCGTCAGCGCAACGCTTCCTTCGCTGTTCTGAAGGTCGATCGAAGCGCCACGTTGCAGCAGCGTCGCGGCCAGCCGCTCGTGGCCGTTGTAGGCGGCGAACATCAGCAATGGATCGCCATACGCCGTGGATGTTGCATCGACCCGCCCGCCGCCGTCGAGCCACGCCAGCACCGCCGCCTCATCACCCTCCTCAGCCGCATCCGCAATCTCCTCGGGGACGGCGTCCTCGCCGCCAGAAGGCGACTCGCCCTCAACGCCGCCGGACGCGGGCGCGGCCCCGACCGCCCCCACCCCGCCCGCCTCCGCCGCAGCCGCCGCTGCCTCATCACTCAAGGAAGCGACGCCGCCCGCCTCGCCGATCTCCTCGGGAACCGGCCCGCTGCTGCCGCCCGAAGCGCTGCCTGCCCCCGCGCCGCCCGCCTCGACGCGCCTCTCCGCCACCACCTCGCCGAGAAACGTATTGACGGCGGCGACGCACTCGGTGTGGCCCTTCTCCTTGGCGATCTGCAGTGCCGTCTTGCCGTTCGCAGTGCGCAGCGCCATGTCTGCGCCTGCCCGCAGCAGGCAGAGCAGAACGGCAGGACGGCCGCAGTGGGCGGCGCTTGTGAGCGCAGTGTAGCCGCTAACGTCCTGCAGATCGACCTCTGCCCCATGCCGCAAAAGCAGCTCGGCCAACCGCGCCTGGCCTTGGTCGGCGGCCAGCATCAGCGTGGTGCAGCCGACGCTGTCCTGAAGGTTGATCTCCGCACCGTGCATCAGCAGCGTCTCGACCACCTGCACGTGGCCGTTGGCGGCGCCGTTCATCAGCGCCGTGATGCCGTCGCTGTCTCTCGCGTCCGGCTTCGCGCCCCGCTTCAGCAGAACCTTGACCAGCTGCTTGTGACCGTGTCCGGCGGCGAGCATCAGGAGCGTCCAGCCACTCACACCGCTACGCACGCACGTCGCGTCAACCAGCCCGTCCCCGGCGAGCCACGTCTGCACCACGCCCGCCTTGCCGTCCACCGCCGCTGTCTCGATCTTTTTCGGCAGCGCGAGCAGCGGCGCAGCAGCCGCCGTTGAAGCGCGTCCGCGCCGGGACGCGGTCCCGGCTGAGCCAGCCTTCGTTCGGCCTGGCATGTCCTCCGCCCCTTTGGGGACCCGGCCTTGCACACAGCTGCCCAGGTACGACGGCAAGAAACCCAAGAGAGAGAGAGAGAGAGAGAGAGAGAGAAAACCGCCAATGGCCGTTATCCGTTAGTGCGGACGTCGCCGCGGCTCGCCTCTGCCGCGGCGGCTGCTGCGCGCACGCGGCGGCGCCGCTCTCTCGCGAGACGGCTGGCGACGCGGATCGCCGCCGACGTACGGTGCGCTCGTCCGACGGTCCGCGGCGTGGCGTGCGCGGCGCTGAGCGCCGCTCTGCGAGCGCCTCTGCGCCTGCACTTCCTGTCTCTGTTGCTGCTGGTGGTGGTGGTGCTGCTGCTGCTGGTGCCGATGCTGCTGCTGGCGCGGCGCGGCTGTGCGACTGGGCTCGACGCGCGCGTCGCGAGCGTCTGACGCGGCGGGCGGCGTCGGGCAGGTGCGCTTCTCTCTCGGGTGGTGGTGGTGGTGCTGCTGCTGCTGCTGGTGGTGCAGGTGCTGCTGCTGGTGCGGCGCGGCTCTCCGACGCGACTCGATGCGCGCGTCGCGGCTATCTGACGCGGCGGGCGGCGTCGCGGGCGGCAGCGGTGGCGGCTCGCGGGTGGAGGTGGAGGCTGGTGGCTGTGGTGGACTTTGAGTTTATTTCATGATGGACTACGAGGAGTGGGGGTCAACCGGGAGGCAGGGCGTCAACCAGGCGACGGAGGACCGTGGGCCATCGCGGGGACCAGCCCGTCCGGAGGACGCACTGGGTAGATCCGGATGGTCTCACCCGGTGGGTGGCACCGAGGCGTCTTGGACGCTCAGCTCTACCTTAAGCTCCTGAGGAGCGCGTGGTTCTAACCACGTAGTATGACTACAACCCACCACAGACACCCTCCCCCACTCCTCACGTGTGTTCACACCCTCACCCTCTCCTCTCTCCTCTCTCTCTCTCTCTCTCTCCTCTCTCTCCTCTTGTCTGTGCTGTCTGCCTGACTCAGGCACTCAATCTGCCGATGCGTGATTGTGTGTGGGCTGCTCCGAGGGGGCCCTCTGTGCGATCCGACGGGTAGGGGGGCTGTGCCCGGGCGGTGTCCGGTGTGGAGTCCCCTTCTGATCCCGCCTGGGATGTTGGGTGTGAGGTTGTGGCGGCTTCGATCCCAAGGGGGGGAGCTGATCCCACTCAATAACCAACTCTCAGGGGCAGTAGGTGGGCGAGCTTCAGGCACGCTCATCTCGAACGTCAAGACGTTGCTACGCGCGGTCTTCCGCGGGGGGAGCTGCGTCGACGGGTGCGGGACCGCGGCGCAGCCAGTGCCGCGGCGAGGCCTCCGGCTGTTTGCGGCGGGCGGGTTGCTGCTCGCTGCGATGGCGAAAAACTCGTCTCGCCACACGCCAAGGGCTTATGCTCTGGCGAGACGTGAGGCGCATGCGCCCAGGAGGGGAGGGGGCATGTGTAACGACACTGCTAGAGATGCCTTTCGGGGCCCAGAGATAAAACTTCTGTGATGCCATGCGTGACCTAGTAGTGTCCCCAGCTATGGGCGTGTCCACGTTGGAGCCAGGTGTGGTGTGGGCGCGAGAATAGCTCCGCCGTTCATGGAGGCAACCGATGCGAGTCGACTGGTGTGTGTCGTCGTGGTTTCGTATCAAGAATTCTCTCTCTCTCTCGAAACCCAAGGGGGAACAACTCGACCACCGGCCCTTCATGCCGCTCTGGGGGGGCGCGAGGGCCCTAGAGGGTATCCATGCGGGGGGGAGATGGGGTCCCACGGCCCGCCGCAGGCACCGATTTTTTGGCATGTTTTTTTCTTCTTTCGCGATTTTTCACTTGTTTTCATGGGAATTCAGCATACTTGCGGCCATGCTATCACGCCTTGCGACAGCCTGTCGGCGCTGCTGACCGTGCTATGCTGCACAATTGATCACCTGCATAGCTCGCGGCCTTAGTATCAAGCATTCAGTGACGACCTGATCGTACGGCCAGTAGGAAGGTGTCCTTCCAACGTGTGCACGCTTCTGACGCAATGCGCGTCACAAACTGCCTCAGATTGGCTGCTGGCACTCTCGAGGCTATGCCTACACAGCCTCGCGCGCATGGGCAGTCAAGAGGGACCACGCACCTTCTCAGGACAGCACCAGTGCCTCTCTCTTGGACCGGCAAACTTGGTGGTCTCGTGTCACCAATGTGGGACCAGTGCGGCATCGCGCCATCGACAGCTCTGAACTGCGCCTCACCACTGACCGGGAAGGCCGCCAAGTGGGCCAGCACAGGTCGCACATTGTGGCAGCAGTCAGCAGTCCATGGCTGATAGCTAGAGCAGCAGCGTCAGGGTCTCGCAGGGTCGGATCGTGTCAAGCCTCTCGCCCGGCCGGCCGCGTGCAGACGTCGGCCTGTCTGCCCTGTCTGGAGTGATCTGTCGGCGGTCAGTACGACCGATCAGGTCGGAGTTTTCTGATGGTTAGAGGGTCTATCTGTATGTACTCCTCGAGATCTCTCCAAATCTGCCCTCTACTTAACCGTACTCATTCGGGAAGTTGGTAGTATGAGCGAGTATGAGCGCCGGAGCCCCGTTTCCGCACTGCTGCGCGGCGCACGGTGCCTCCGGGGGCCCCGGCGCCCCCCCAGAGTCATGCCGTAAAGGGTGGTCCCCTCGCGGCCCTTCATGGCCGCTGCCATCAGTGCCGTATAGCCACCGCTGTCTCGCGCGTCCGCTTCTGCGCCGCGCTTCAGCAGCAAGCAGCTCGACCAGCTGCTTGAAAGGGTGGGCGGCGACGATCACCAAGACCGTACAGCCACTCCATCCACCACGCTCGCACGTCGCATCGAGCCGCCCACCCGCGCCGAGCCACGTCCGCACTGCGCCCACGTTGCCAGCCGCCGCCGCGGCTTGGATCTTCTTGGACACAGCAAGTCAGCAACGGGAGGCCCGCTCCCCCGGCCGCTGTTGAAGCGCGTCCGCGCGGGGAGGCGGCAGCGGAAGCCTTGGGCCGGCCATGCATGGAGGCGTGTGAGGCTCAGCGAGTTTTTATTTTGGTGGGAAAAGGCGGGGGGCGATGAACAAAGAAAACGGTGTGGGGTGCGCAGGTAGGGGGTAGACAGCGTCCTAATCTAAAATCTCAGGATTCAGGATTGAGGCATCGCTTCAGTGAGGCCAAAGTGAGTTTATGGATGTGTGAGAACGGTACGGGACGCGAGGAGTCACGCGGACCGACTCGTCGGTGACTCTGCTGCACGCCGTTTCAGAATTTTTCTCAGCGTGAGCGAGACGTGGAAGAGTGCCACCGTCGGGTAGGACGGGTCGGCCCGGAGAATCAGAGTAGCCGTCGTGGTCGCGGCGAGCAGCGCCGGCCACTCCGGCGCCGCGTCGGCAACATGGGAGCATGTCCACCGCCACTTCGCGGTCGCAGCGCTGTTTGTCGCCCAAAACGCCGCTGATCCCTCTGGCGGGCCAAAGATCGACTCGCATGTCGATTTCGACGCGACGGGCGCATGGAGGCATCACGTCTCCATGCGCCCGTCAAGTCGGAACCAGTCTGCGGCGACCACAGCGCTCACCGCAGGGATCGGCGAGCTTTTCATAGTCAAGCGATTGCGCGAAATCCCACAGTGGTGGATTTTGGGGCGCTGTCTACCCCCTAGCGCAGGCTTTTTCGGCCACTCGCCACAGCAGGGGCGTGTGTGTACCCGCGCGGCGGTTGTGCCGGTTTGGTTCGTTCGGCGCGCGTGCTGCTGACGGCAGAATAAAGAAAACGCGGTTCGCACACACAGAACGAAGTCGCTCCCCCACCCACACCCGCACAGTGCACACTGGGAGATGCACACTGCATACCACACTCTCTCGCTCCCACCCGACCGTCACGGCTACGGGCGAGCTCATCCCGCGGCGGCGCGCCACGCGTGTCAGCGCCCGTTGTGCGTGTTTTGGCCGAGGAAGGGGCACTCGCCCGCGCGGCTCGGGCTCTTGAAATCGTAGAGGTGGATCCACAAGTTGGCGGCGTACTTGACGCCCGCCTCGACCGTCACCGCCTCGTGGTGCGTCTTTGGCTCGCCTGTTCGCGACGGGAGGCGTGAAGAGGCGCCGTTCACAGCCTGCCGCGGCGCGCCTTTGACGCTCGCCCGTGAGCAAGTCCGAGTCGAGCACCGATGGCCACAGCACCGCCCGGCCGAGCTTCGGCGTCACCTACATCGGGAGAGATGGCGGAGATATGGCGGAGAGATGGCGGAGATATGGCGGAGAGATGGCCATGCTTCGGCGTCACCTACGCTCCATTCCTCGCCAGGGAGTGAATCATGGACTCAGCACCGCCCCGGCCAAGCCTCGGCCTCACCGTGATGCCGAGGTCGGTGAAGCGGGTCCCGCCGCCCGCCTACGGGGAGGTGAGGCAAGGCCGACTGCTTCCGCACGCGAGGGTGGTGGGGCGTCCCCTCGCGACTCCGCGTCCAAAGACAGGAGCCCCGCGGCAACCAAAGTGCAAGGCCCAGTGTGTGTGTGTGCCTGTGTGTGTGTGTGTGTGTGTGTGTGTGTGTGTGTGTGTGTGTGTGTGTGTGTGTGTGTGTGTGTGTGTGTGTGTGTGCCTGTGTGTGTGTGTGTGTGCCTGTGTGTGTGTGTGTGTGTGTGTGTGTGCCTGTGTGTGTGTGTGTGCCTGTGTGTGTGTGTGTGTGTGTGTGTGTGTGTGTGTGTGTGTGCGACCTGTGCGAGGATGTGTCTATGTGTCCGCGCTCATGCGTGTGCCGCCCGCCTCGACGTCCGAGAGGTAGACGAAGAAGGTGTAGACGCGCACGCCCTGCGGCGTCCAGTGCGCCGACTGCTGGTCGTGGTGCGTACGGTAGAACTGGCCCGGCTCGTACTTGAGGATCTGAAAGTACTCCGCATTTTCCTCGGGCACGCCGGCGATCCTACCCCTCAACAGGACGCGGTCAGCCGCCAGCCGTCACGGTAGGTGCCGCCGCCGCCACCATGCGGGAGCTGTCCGAGTCATGCGCTTTGTGACTGCGTCGATGGTCGGGTCCCTGGTGCACCCGTCCTCGTCGCCGCACCAGTACTGCAACGGATGGGAGGGAGGGAGGGAGGGAGGGAGGATGGCGCCCCCCTCCTCCACCTCGGCCAATTGGTCGCCCTCCTCCTCGTCGCGCGCCATCGCGAGCAGCCTGTTCACAGGGGGAGTGGCTAGGAAGCGGCCAAGGAAGTGTCCAGGAACTGTCCCCCTCGCGAGCAGCCTTGTCTCCGACACAAACGACAGCACCAGCCGTGCCGGGGCGACGCCGCCGCCGCTGCCACCGCCGCCGCCGCCACAGCCGGAGGCGTGCAGCGACCACA